AGGGGGGGGGGGGGGGGGGGGTTAAATTTAGATGAACAGCAAGTCATAGATAAACTCAAGCATGCCTCAAGGTTCAAACATTTGATGCCTGTTTTACCCTGCTGTGCACTCTAGTTAATGTTCATAAGTTTTTAGCCTCTAATTTAGCAGAATCATTCTGTAATAAAAACAAAGTATATTTGTCCAGTACACTCAACATTCTTGGCATCACAGCAGTTAAATCAGCTGTTTCTTTTAGAAAATACTTCAGCCACAGTTGGCATCCCCAGGTATTCTTTGGTGGCTCTTTTGGCAGCACTTCTTCCTCAGTGGGTGCTACACAGAAGTCACGGTGCTTCCTTGTGGGCATTGTGCTGCTGGTGGCCTTGTTTTTCATGGAAGAGAGAAATCAAGGTATTGAGTGTGCTGATTGATGAAATATCGCAGTCAGCTGTGTTGGAAGTGGAGGTGCCTAGACACAGGCACTGTCCAGATTTTGAGATAATTGGGAACTCTCTATAGTACGTGTGTTTCTTGGTCATTTCAAACACACAGACTGTATTTGTTTCATGTTCTAAATTGTTGCTTTGCTATGTGGGTTTTTGACTACAGAAGTTAGCGGTTGATTAAATATGCACTTGATGCGTAATTTCTAACACAGAAAAGTAAGTTTTATTTGTGATGAAGGTATTTTGAAAACAAAAATTGTCCTAATCCATGGGTGATCAATATTTAATTATTTGAAGGTTTCAGGGTGTAGGCAATGCCTTGTGTGCAATTTGCAGATCCTGCAACACTTTTCATTCTTTGAAAGTATCAGTGCTCGACACTTAAAATGCTAAGCTATTCCTTTTATCAATTCCGTATAATAGAAGTGTATCAGAAATTCAGTAACAAAAAAAACCCCAACGGTTTCAATATTGCTTTCATTCTTATTTTTGAGATAGAGTCTCTGTTCTAGAGTAAACGTACCTGTAGTGTTTGCAATTGAGGAGAGATTTGGTAAGTTTTCATTGATTTGTTGAAGTGTTTTACCAATCATTTGCCTAGTTCAACATTAATTAAAATGAGGGTTTTAAAAACAAATAAATTCAGTCATAGTGAAGTACTTAGTATTAATTTGGTTAGGTAAGTTTGTGTGAATTTTTGTAGCGTATGGAATAGTCTAAAACTTTGCAAAAGGAGAAATTTTAAAGTCATAGCGAATAGCCCTTATAGAAAATTTGGAATTCTGTTGCACTTAAAACTTCTTAAAAAAAAAAAAAAAAAAGAAAGAAAAAATATTTCAGTTCTGAACGCAGGAATCAATTACAAAATGGTAAATTTTTCAGACATTTACAATTTAGTTTGTTTTCAATTATTTTCACAGGCTGATCCAAAAGAGCTGATTCAGATGGTCACAAAGCATGTTACTCAGTATGGCTGTACAGACTGGCCTGAAGAAATCGCAACTTTGATAAATCAGCTGCATTACTACAATGAACGACTACTGGATTTCACTCAAGCTCAGATTCTGCAAGGGCTTGGCAAAGGAGTGGATGTGCAGAGGTTTACAGCAGATGGACAGTACAAGAGGGAAACAATACTAGGATTGGCAGAGTAAGTGATGTCTATTATGTTTATTTTCTTTATTTTGTAATGGAATTACTTTAAGCTTTAAATCAGGAAAGTAAATTGAAAGTACTGCTGACCTTTAGAAGGGATAAGTTAACAGTTGCTTTAGGTATTTACACTGTAATGCTGCTACAATTGGAGCCTTCTTTGTTCAACTACTCCACTTAAATGAAATGTTGCTCAAATAAATGGATTGATAACTTTTAATGGAAGCTATAACTGTTTATTAATTGTTAATGTTAATCAGGGATGAATGAAATCAGCATAGGTGGAGGTCTGATTTCTTCCTTTCATCTCCTGTAAATCTGCCCTAGCAATCTATTAAGGTATGCCCAAGCATCACAGTTTGTAATGAACTATAGTTTTAAAAAATAAAAAGTTAATAAACTGTATTTTATTTTTAATAATTTAGTTAAAGCTACTGTATATTACAATATTTTTCCCCTGTAGTCATTTGGAAGTACTGAAGGCTTCACTGCACGTGTTCTGATATTTAGGATGCTTTTGTCTCACCGTTCAGTTATCCAGAATAGAAAAAAAGGAAAGATAAAGGATGGTACTGTCTTTTCATTTTAAAAATACCTTTAATTAACATCTGCATGCAGGTACTTTAAGCTGTGAACAAGTCATGAATACATACTTGGACTCTATATCTTTTGAAGACAATCACAGTTGAATAGCTGCTAGACTGTCAAAGGAAGAGTTCTGTGCAATAAGAAGCTTTTAATGTAATTTTTAACCTAATTTTAAACTACTCTGTGCATAAAGCTTTTGAAGAGCATATTTAGATGTTTACAGTCTTCCACCTATGTAGCTGCTCATAGCTACAATTCCAATAGAAATTCGTTAGTAAAAAAGAACATGGATATGAAATGCTGAGTAAGAATAGTAGTATAACCTCAGGTTTTGAACACTAACTAAGCTGCTGCTTTGCATCTATAAAATCTATACCTGCATAGATTTTGGCAGTGCATTCATAAAAATAGCTTGTAAGCATCTTTTAATGTTTCCAGAGGAGTTACCTGTTCTGTATATATTGATCACTGAGCACATATCAGTAGTATGTCACTAGGTGAATGTTACATCTTATGATTATCTACAGTAACTTCAATACAAAAATCCTTCTGTTATTACAGATATTTATTTTGAATGCAGCATGCTTGCTTACATTCGCATCTAAGTGTCCTTTAGATACTGTCTTTCGTAAAAATAAAGTAAACATGAAGAGAAAGTTCCTTACAGTAAGTAGAGATCGAAACACAATATGAAAGGGTTAGTAAAAATAAGGCTTCATAGCACGTGGATGAGCATGGTACTTCCATATTAGGGCAGTTGCAAAGAGCCAATTAATTACTTGTTCAGCTTGCAGCTTCCTTGCTTTAATCATCTCAGTTGACTCTTAATCTGCATTTTCTAATGAAAACAATGCGCAAATTCAATATAATTGTGTAGTGTATTTTTGAATTATCATTAAGTGACTCATGTTTTTAATCTTTTATGAAGTGCTGTTTGCAGGAACAACACCTGGAAGAGATGGTATCTTATTTACAAAACAGCTTTGTACTAGAATGAGCAATTTGCTAAAACTACTTAACAAATAGTTGTCAATTTTATCTTCCATATTTGGTGTATTGTCATTAGAGCTTATTATGCATCATTTATCAAATATTTAAAGATTTGGGTGCCTCACAGACTTAATCAAGGTTCGTTCTCAAGCAGTTAACAATTTATTTGGGCAAAATAGAGCCAGAATGTATCTGGAAAGGAATTAGGAAAACTAGAGCAAGACTGAATGGGAGTTCTTGAGTAATCAGGTGAAGTCCCCAGTAGCTTCAGGCCAGCTGTGGTGTATAAGGTTTCTAAATTCTTTTACTTGAGGCCAGCCTTTGGGTGGCTTTTTTTTTTTCTTTTCATTCACTTGCTCTGAGGTCTTCAGCTCTTCACTGCTTCTGTAAAAATGTTAAAATCAGAAGTTGATTTTAATGCTTTAATACCAATTTCTTTCTTGTCTTACGTCACTGATCTGAAATACTTACTTTAGATTTTTAGAAAAATTGTGCAATTATCAAGCAATCTGAATTTCATAACTTAGCTTGTGCTTATTGGGTTCTCAGAATGATTTTGGTGCATATGAACTAGGTCCCTTTCCAGAAGACTAAACCAGAAGGTCCTGTATAAAACCACTTTGAATGTACTTTAGCTCTTATTAGTAACGTTAGCTTCTGAACCATTGTGTATGCTTTTGCTATACTGCTCTGCTCTGTTGCCAGTGTAGACACAGCCTTTTCTCCCTGATGTATTGCTGCTGCAAAACTTAACAAACAGCTGTAGCCTTCCATCTCATTTTCCTGCTTCAAACATGAGAGGAAACGAAAGGCTCTTGGCTTAAATCTTCATTTCAGTTCTCCAAGTTGGATTTTTTTTTTTTAAACATTTTTTGAGGACGGGCAACTGGAAAAGTGGATGTCATTTCCCTTTATTCTGATTGATTCCAGTGGTGGTTCTAATGTTTTGTAGCTGATTGATGCCAACAGAAAATGTTGAAGACAGCGATTGTGAGCAAACACATGTACATGTATGATACAACAGAGGTTTTAGACAACAAGATGGAAAAAAAAAATTGCTCTGAGCTGCCAAATGTTTATTTCTGTGAGCTTGAAGATAGTCAGCAAAATCCCAGCTGAACACTACTGCACAGGCATATTTTTTGGTACTTTCACAGGCATATTTTTTGGTACTTTGGAAATGTGTGCTAGCACACAGGCAGGGTGGCTAAGAGCCATCCACAAGAACTGCTTCTGACTTTGCTTTTGCACCAATGGTGGTGCAACAGCACACAGGAAGTACAACCAAACTGCGCCTGCACCGGAGCCTTCAGCGGGGATTTCCCTGGCAGTCCTCAGGCTCACAGAAGCAGGCAGTTAGTGCTGGGCATGAAAAGGGGCGGGTAAAAGAAAGTTAAAAGGTCCTTTACAAGGTCACGGCCATTTTTTCAGCTCTTCATTGTGTAACAACTACTTGTTCTTATCTTGTCAATATTATCTTAACAATGAATAGCTTGTTACTGTTCTTCATTTATACGATATCGTTCCTTTAAACCTCCATTGCCACTGCATGCCACTCTTAAGACAGAAAGACAGGATTTTAGTAAGGTTTATAAGGGTCTAGGGGGAATGGATCCCCCTAGCTCCAAGAGCCACTCCTGATTTGTATGATTGACTGAGTTATTGTGCAACTAAAGCATTCATATCATCATCCTCTTTCACTGAATCACAGAATCACAGAATGGTGGAGGTTGGGAGCGACCTCTGGAGATCATATGGTCGAACCCCTCTGCTCAAGCAGGGCCACCTAGAGCTAGTTACACAGCATTGTGTCCAGACGGCTTTTGAATACTTCCAAGGATGCAGACTCCACAGCCTCCTGGACAACTTGTACAAGTGCTCTGTCACCCTCACAGTAACAAAGTGTTTCCTTTTGTTCAGATACGCCCTCCTGTGTTTCAGTGTGTGCCCATTGCCTCTGGTGCTGTCACTGCGCACCACTGAAAAGAGCCTGGCTCTGTCCTCTTTGCACCCTCCCTTCAGGTATTTGTATACATTGATGAGATCCACCCTGAGCCTTCTCTTCTCCAGGCTGAACAGTCCCAGCTCTCTCAGCCTTTCCTCGTAGGAGTAATGCTCCAGTCCCTTCATCATCTTTGTGGCCCTTCACTGGACTCTCTCCAGTAGCTCCATCATTCATTTCAGAACTGCTCAGTTCATTTCAGAAGTTGTTGTAGTATTTACTTTTTAAGTAGAGGATTATTAGATCGTTCCTAAAGATCATCTTTTCCTTCTATCGAGATATTCTGTATCTGAATTGATGATACAAGGAAAGTAATACATTGTAGTTTGTTTGTTTGTTTGTTTTTTAAATTAGTGAGAGTATTGAGATCAGTGTGAGGACTAGCCTGCAGAATAGTGCTGTTAACCTCATCACCTCCAGTGTACCTTTTCCTGAATATCCTCTGTTATCTTCCCCTTAGCCAGTGGCATACTCGCTGTGCAGTTCTTGCATCAGTCTTCACCTGCACTTTAACTAGTAATCCCCTTATTGACAGTACATCAAATGATTTCTGGAAAAGGCGAAGGAATGTAAGTTTACATGTGTTGTGATTTGGCAACAGCTGTTGTGTATCCCTGGTTAAAAAAAGATCTGCTTTCATGTACTGAATGACAACCTGCACAAACTGTGGCTACTAATCTGGAATTTACAATGTAGTGCTGTCATGGTACTTCTCCTTAAGGTCGAAAAATAGAATAGAGCATCTGCCTTTAAAGATTAGATGACTCTTACTGAGTATTTTTGAAAAAGTTTAGATCATCATCCTCTTAACACATACATCATTGCTTGCTGGGTTAAAAAGCGTTCTTTTGTTTGCATTGAAGTATTGAGTCTAGTTTCAAGAGGTTGGGTACAGGAAGCCTTGCTGTGCTGGAAAATCGGAGGGAAAGTGCCGTCCGTGGCCATTGGAACAGAAGAGACAGGATAGTGTGTGGGATTTTTTTCCTTTTTTTTTTTTCCCCCCTTCTTAAATATATTCCAATAATTACTTTATTTATCTTAAAATATATTTCTTTCTTTTAATTTTAATGCTTGTGTTCTGCCTCCTTTAATTTGCATACATGTTATTCAGTGTAAAGTGCCTAAAATTTTTGAGGGGTTGTCATAACTAAGAGTCATTACAAGAGGGTTGTGGGTTTTTTCTTTTTTGGGGTTTTTCTGTTTGCTTTTTTTTTTTAACTATTAGAGAAATAGATATAATACAAAGGTACAAAGGCTATTCTGATAGCTGGTTGTGAAGATTTTTCAGCATTATGTTCTTTCTTGGCATTTTGCTTTTCTACTCTGCATCCTATATAATTTTAATTCTACAGTATCTGTAGCAACTATCACAGTGGAATGTAATGATATGTTGGATTAAGCGTCTAAAAATCAGAATTAAGGTATATGGATGTGTCAGCTGATCACTTAGGGTGGTGAGAAAATCATGGACTCCAGCTGTAAGCCTTGTTTAGCATAGATCAAGATATGGTATAGATCTATGTTAGTCAATGACAAAAAAAGAACTGGGAGGATATACTCTCTAACCTGTAGGTTTTTTCTGCTTTCCTTTTACTGTCATACATAGATAATGATGATAGTATAGAAAATGTTGTACTAAAAGTTATGGTTGCTCCACAAAGTTTGCCTCCTACCCCCCAGTATTGTAGAAAACAATGTAATGAATCTAAGGAAGGTGTGAAATGTACAGTAAGGTCACTCAAGTTTATGGAGTTAACATGAGTCTGTAGATGAGTGATGTTAATATAATTTTGTTCACTAATTTACTGACAGTTGCAGTTGTATTATGTAATAGTTCATGTTGTGTAAGGCTTTTTTCCATAGTCCCACATGACTTTTTAATTAAAGAATCTAAACCAATATGGTCAGCAGTATCCACATTAAATACATTTTTTAAAAAGTTGTTTGTGACAGTTCTATTAGGATGTAATTATAAACAGATAGATAGAATTTTTCTTGGAATTATCCTGGGGGGAAAAAAAAAAACAAAACAAAAAACAAAACCCAAAAAACCCAGCATCAGCCTTAATAGTTTTGTACTGCTCCTATACCAGCATAAAAACAAAACCCATGTGTGTCTATTTGAGCCATACTAGCCTCAGTGGATTAGTAAAAATTAATATGAAGTTAACTTCAGGCTTTCATCACTTAACAGATTCTCCATCTATTGTTCTGTTAAAGGGATATACAAAAACAGAAAACCAGCTTTTAATGTTTCTTGGACATTTACAGAGTGGAGCTGGACATTTACCCACCTTCTTTCAGTCTGCAGATACTAAGTGTTTCTGTCTGAATTTCTAGGAAGAGCTTCGAGCACCTACATACCAGTTGTGCTAAAAGACTGTAGGCGTTGCAACTAAATCAAATAAATGCTAACTGTGTGTTGTGGTTTAGCCCGGCAGGCAGCTGAACACCACACAGCCATTCGCTCCCTCCCCACCAGCG